AGGGTCCTTTTTTTACTTTCTTTTTTTCTTCCTTTTGTATTTGTTTTGCATGTATGGCCATTGACATTTTACTGTATTTCTTCAAGATCCTGAAATACACTTGATTGGAACCAAGTATATAATTGCTGTTTTTAGTTGCTTCTAATGCCTTGCAGCAGTTTGATTGTGTGGTTTGATGTGTAATTAGCACTAAAATTCATTAATCATTTTCATCTGAATATCCAACCTATGATTGAATATGTTTATAAATATTTTAACACATTGAGTGTGGCAAGACCACATAGTGGTCGCCCTCCCATGTTAAGTCATAGTCACTGAAAAGTCCCTCACTCATTCGTATTTCTAGACCTCTAAAGTTCTCTTATTGTTAAACTTATTTCTCCTATTTTTAGGTGACAATGTTATGCATTCTGAATTTCCTCTTAGAACTCCCAAGCTTGTTGTTTTAACTTCCTCAATTGACTGGAGCCCATAAACCAGCTAATGCCTTTGATTTAAGGTTTTCTCTTTTGATTAAAGCACCACTGATAACGTATTAGCACTCTCTATATTAATATTGTCATTCTCTTATGTTTACAGGCCCTTAGTCACAGTGAATCCATGGTGTCTTTCTCTCATCGTACACTAGTAAATTACATCAGGGATGACAATATCAATGCACTGCAGGGTTTTTTGGAGAATAAGCGTGCTGTGGTTGATGATAGAGACGAGGTAGGTGTATGTTGTATTGCTGTATTTCTCCAAGCCATTTGAAATTTTGCTTTTCAATGTCATTAAGTTTTGTCTCTATTCTAGAATGGAGCTACAGCATTGCATGTAGCTGCAGCTAAAGGAAAGCTCCAGTTTGTCCGGGAACTCATCAGTCATGGAGCCGATGTTAATGCTGAGGACAATGTAAGGGTGGAACTTATTGATAAGAAGACTAGAAGTCACCATAACAGTTAAACACATTGAAAATATTTTTGTCACAGGATCAGTGGTGTGCGTTGCTTTGCGCTGCCAAAGAAGGTCATGCAGATATCTGTGTTGAGCTTCTTGACAATGGTGCTGACATTGAACACAAAGATATGGTGATTATTTAAACTCATTGTATGTAATAAATCTATGTAGATATATATCTAAGTGCTTTGAATCATTTTTATTTCTTTCCTTCTTAGGGAGGCTGGACTGCCCTTATGTGGGCATCCTATAAGGGGAAGGAAGATGTGGTGGATGTATTGTTGGAGCGTGGGGCTGATATTAATGCATGTGGAAATTTTCACATACCATCCCTTATATGGGCTGCTGGACGAGGCCATACGGAGATAGCTTTAAAACTCATACAAGCGGGAGCCAAAATCAATTTTGGTGATAAGGTTTGAATTTATTCTCAAATTTCCTACTGGATAACCATGTTAAAATTAGTTATATTCCTAAAATATGAATATTACTTTTTCAGTATGGTACTACAGCTCTTGTGTGGGCATGTCGGAAGGGTGATGTCTCTATTGTGAGAGCTGTACTTAATGCTAGTGCTAATGTGGATACTGCTGGCATGTATTCATGGACAGCACTGCTGGTTGCCACAATGGGAAATCATTTAGAAATAGTAAACCTACTTTTGGAACACAAACCAAATGTGAATGCTCTAGATAAAGATGGACACACTGCTTTAACTATTGCTTGCAAGGAGGGTTTCCTTGAAATAGCTCAAGCACTTTTAAATTATGGTGCTTACATTAATATTCAGGTCTGTACACTTTTACGCTCTAAAATTGGTTATTTATGACAAGAGTTAATTTTGAAATGGTTGTTTGTTACTTTTACAGGACCGAATGGGGGACACGACACTCATACATGCAGTCAAAGGAGGTCACCGCAGTGTTGTGGAGGCCTTATTAAAGAAATATGCTGATGTTGACATTCCAGGAAAGGTTTGTAATCCTTTTTAATGTTGTCTTATTCACCCCAGTTCGTGAACTCTTCTTCATAAGATTGTCTATTGCTTTTCAGGAGAAAAAGACTGCCACATATACTGCTGTAGAGAAAGGCCACATTCCTATTTTAAAACTGCTGTTGAATTCAAATCCAGATTTAGAAGTTCAAACTAAGGTATTTTATTTTATAACATTCTATCCGAAATGAAGTTTAAGTTCATTTGATCGACATCAGATAATATATACAAGGTTGTCTTCTGCAGGATGGGGATACTGCTTTGCTCAGAGCTGTCCGCTCCAGGAATTCTGAAGCAGTTCAGTTACTACTCGACAAAAAGGCGAAAGTGAATGCTGCTGATAAGCGTGGAGACACTGCACTGCACATTGCAATGCGTGCCCGCTCTAAAGCTGTTGTGGAAGTTCTTCTTCGCAACCCCAAACATTCTCAATTACTATATCGCCCAAATAGAGCAGGAGAAACACCATACAACATTGATATGAGCCATGATAAAACAATATTAGGACAAATATTTGGTGCTCGTAAGTTCATTTTGCTAACTAATGGTTCTTGATTTGTTCCATTTTTTATATTAATGTTTGAATACTTCTGTTTCTTCTAATCAGGCCGACTTAATACAAATGAAGACAATGAAAATATGCTTGGTTATGATTTGTACAGTAGTGCATTAGCTGATATTCTCAGTGAACCTTCTCTTTCCATGCCTATTACTGTAGGACTGTATGCCAAATGGGGTAGTGGCAAATCGTTTCTTCTAAATAAGCTGAGAGGTATGAATACTCATCTGTCTCTAAGTTAACTTCTGAAATGCACATAAATATTCATCAAATTGTTTTTTTTTTTCAGAGGAGATGCAGAATTTTGCACGGCAATGGGTAGACCCTGTTTTTCAGTTCACATGGATTTTATTCCTTGTGGTTTTCCATGTTTCATTGTTAATTGGTCTAGTCTTTGGACTTATATCTTTAAGTTGGATTGTAGGCCTTTCGCTTGGCTTAGCCGTTTTTATTGTCTCCTACTGCCTTGCTATCTTAGTGTGGTACAGTGGAAAGCGGTATGTATTTTCATTACATTTCATTTGATTGTGTGACTGGCTCCGGAACTAAAAGATACATTTTGAATTTTAGGTATGATTGGAAATGGACATACTTAGCACATCTTTACTTCACCAAGAAAGTAGACACATTGAGGTTGGTTCTTCAAATTATGTTTTGCCATCCTCCTGGAATTCATAGTGATGATGTGCTGGCTGCTCATCCCATCAGGTTGGTTTACATAGCATTTTCTCTTAATGCACTGTTATAAATCTTCATGCCAAAAACTTGACTAATTTCTTTCAGATTTTACTTTACTGATCAAACTCGAATGAGCTCTACTACTGGAGGAGAAAGTTCTGTTGTTCAAATGCTGGGATCTTTGTATGATGCAATAGAAAAGGATTTTGGAGGTTTACCAACCCGTTTGTACCGTGCTTTCCGACCTAAAATAAGTAAGACCTTTAAACCTGCTTGCTGTTAAGAAGTTGGACTCCCTTGCATTAATATTTGTCTTTATTTCAGATAAAAGTTCATCCTCTTGGAGATTGAGGAAGTTGTGTTGTGTTCCTTACATTGTGATTTGTGAAGTAATGTTCCTTTCTGCTTTTGTGGGAACTATAGTTCTTACTCTTTATCTTAAGCAGTAAGTTAATCATTTTTTTTTACCAACCCACATGTGAAGTATTTGCTATTTTTTTTAATATTTACGGTCTTTTTTTTTTAATCTAGTGACTCAAGTATTGATAAGACAATGGCGGAAGTGATTTTGTATACCATTGGTTTAGTTGTAGTTATGGCCATTGTTTCCAACTTTTATACTTGGGGCAGAATGTTCGGATCGTTAATATTCTCTCAGCGGCGACAACTTCAGCGGACTATTACAAGAGTTGAAACACTGCGATCGGAAGGCTTCCTGCAAGCTGTACGCCAAGAGGTTACTTTTATGACAGAAATGGTAAAATAATATTGCATTTTTTCATTGATCCAAATAATAATATAAATTCAAATGGATATTCTGAAATGGTGTGTGTGTTGTTTTTGTCACAGATTAAATGTCTGGATGGATTTTGCCAACAACAAAGTCGTCTGGTGATAGTAGTAGATGGTCTGGATGCTTGTGAGCAGGATAAAGTTGTTCTTGTGCTAGATGCAGTTCATCTCCTCTTCTCAGATGCAAACTCTCCGTATATTGTAATTCTTGCCATTGACCCTCATGTTGTGTCTAAGGTAAGGATAATGCACTTGGTATGTCACTTCTGGCATTCTCGTATATCGTATCATGATGCTGATGCTGTTCCAACAAGGTGCAAGATATTTCAAGTATTATTCCTCTAATTTTTAGTTTTAAGTTAAGGCCACCACATTGCAAACCGCAAGGGCACTTATGACTTTCCTTGCAATAGGCAGGCTATTAGTTCAGGCATTTGTGATGAATCTGGTTTGGAGTGATGTTTCCTTTGATCCTTTTCAAGCTGGTACATAATTCAGGATCAACTTAATATTTTTGGGGGCTGCAACAGTTAATTTAGATGCAATGTTCAGATGCTTCCTGCCTATCAACTCTGAGAAATCTCTCCAGAAGTTGAAATCTGACATGAAAACTCTTCCACTGCACACACATGAGCCTTTTGTGCTTTAATTTTTTAATGTCAAGCTGGGATAACATGGTAGAATATTTACTGGCTCAAGTAGTCTTTGCGCCTGCAAATTACCATTTTATGATTATTTTTGAAGGATAATGCAAGAGGTAGTGGAGCTATAATGTCATTCAGACAATTAATGTTACACTGCATTTCTTTATTGGCTTTTTTGTTGCTCATTGTTGGGGGAATATTTCTCGAAATATCATCAAACCTTAATGATACATTGACCTTCATGCTTTTCTATTTCTTCTACTCTTCCTATGACTGTAAAATGCAGTTTTATTCTGCTTCATTAGTAGGGTCCATGTACCTAGTTTCCTTTATTCATACAAGTACACATCAGTTCCTTTATCTAGTGGGCTGAAGGGGACTTTGTCTTATCTGTCTTTTAAATCTGGCACATCATGACATGAGACTTAAGTACTGGGTGGGTAAGATTTCTATTGTTCTCTAATCAGTAAGTTTCTTCCTACTGCAAATCTGTCAAGGTGGCAAGCGAGGAGGTCAGTGTGAGTCAAAATTTTGTTTCTTCTCATTTGGTTTTTGAATCCCTCTCTGTTGACTTTCATAAGCTTACATCTGTATGCAAACATGCAAATTATTGTACATAATGTCTGCTTTTAAAATGTTTTGATCTATATTTGACAATGTAGTGCTGGTAGAGAATCATTATGGTATTGTAATATTTTGTTGATAGATTCACCTTTTGTTAAGCTTTTACACTATGGCTTTACACACATCAAGTGATTTGTATTTTTACAATCTCCATCATATTAATCTTTATGAGACTAAAAAATTACTGTATTCCTGTATCGTTTTAAGGGATGAAAATTAGCTTTAGCATGACAATTAGGGTACATAGCTATTCTAACCTAGAGACCCATTATGTCTTCCATTTTTCTCTATTGCTTGCTATAAAATAAGTCATATCTAGTTGTACTCTCTTTTATACTTTTTCATTTATCTAATCTGTTACAAATTTAATTGAATAACATTGACTTGACCCTTACACACACCTCTTATTCTCTTTGTTGTGTTTTGCTGTCCTATCTAGTTTGTCATTGAAAAAGTCAGCAGCTTCTATCGTTATTTATACTTTTGTTATTTTTTTTTAAAGAGTTTATACATTTGAGCATGTTAGGTTGAGACAATCTCTAATTTAAACATGCTTATACTCCCCACTCCTTGTTCTGAGTTTCAGTCCTCTTCAAATTTTAGCTGTTTCTTTGCTTTTTTGACAATATAGGAATATCTTAAACTCCCAGTGAGCTCCATTGAGAGCTGAAATGTGAAGGAAACTGCTAAATTTTTTGTGTTTTATGATTTTAGGCAGTGGAACTAAGCAGCAGGCGTCTTTTTACTGAATCAAATATTGGTGGACATGACTATCTGCGCAATATGGTCCACCTACCATTTTATCTTCAGAACTCAGGCTTACGAAATGTGAAAGTTGCTCAAAACGCAGCAATGCATCATCGAAAGTCTCAACCAGGTTTTGAGTCCAGTGATGATGGTTACTTAGGTTACCCAGCTCATAGTCAAGTAAGTTGTTGCCAGAGTATATATTGCCATTTACACTCTTCTGAATTTGTCAGTGATTATTCTGTTTATTCCAGACTTCGAGAAGGCTATCCACAGAGTCGGGTATGAGTAGCACAGAACGCCTTAAAACTGTGCCCAAAAAGGGCTCTCGAAAGTTGAAATTAAGTGAAAGTGTAGCTAGCAGTCTTGGAAGTAATTTGAATCGAATTGGTGGAGCACATGACCTCACAAAAATGCTTTTGACAGACGATTATTTTAGTGATGTTACACCTCGTAGTATGAGGCGACTAATGAATGTTGTCTATATCACTGGTAATACCTTATATTTCCTTTATTAAGTTCTTTGTTCTGCTCTGTGCTAGATGCCAGATTAACTGTGTTCTGTTTTCTAAGGTCGTTTATTGAAAGCATTTCAAATTGACTTCAATTGGTACCATCTTGCAAATTGGGTTAATATTACTGAGCAATGGCCATTTCGCACCTCATGGATTATATTGTACTATGAAATGATGGATGAGAGCTTAGACGACAATACTTCTCTCAAAACCTTATATGATAAGTAAGAAGGAAAATCAAAATCATATTTCAGTAACATAAAAGTTATTTTGATACATGTGCATGTCTATTGTTTCTTTTTTGCATTCCTGTAATACACACTCTTTGTTTATGCAGAGTTCGTCCTCAAATTCCAATGTCAAAAGACGTTGTGCCTCTCTTAGACTTGGATCGAGATGAAAAGAAGTTTGATATATTTCTCACATTTCATCGTAACAACCTTCTTGTTAGTGATCTGAAAGTATTTCTTCCTTTTACCATAAATTTGGATCCATACCTGAAGAAAGTTATCAAGGGTAATACTAGGAGTTTCTTGTGTGATCACCCATTGTGAACTGAGTATTTATTTATCTTGAATGGCTTACTTTGTCTACAGAGGAACAACAAAGTGCTGAAGAGTCTGCAGGGTTGATGATGTTCCCACAAAATGTTGCAAACCCTCTACCAAATCAACAGTCTTTATTACTGCCTCACAATGCATCTTGGAATGGTCAGAATAAAACTCCAAGCTCTACAAAAAAGGTAAATATTGCACATTTCCTGCTTTTCCTGTCACAGTTTTAGTGTAGACACCAATATTCCTTGGTGGATAGCAGAAAAAAGTGACCCTGCGTAAGCAATTGGCATTCCGGCGACAGCAGAGGGTGAAACATTTGGTGCAGCAATATACCTTGCTCTCTCAAGACACAAGTTCCTCCTTACACCAAGCAGAAGCCCTTTTGCGTCAGGGTTCAAGATGTATGGGTCTTGCGGAAAAAATCATTCAGAAGTCCATGAACTCTTTAAGGCATTGTATTCTTAAAGCTAAAGAAATTAATAGACTGGTTACTGATATTAACTTACTTTTGAAAACTGTGAGCAAAACGATAACTCAAGAATGTGAAAATGTGAGGAGAATCAGTTTACTTGTTTACAGGGACCCAACTATTTTTTCAATTTTAGATCTGCAAAATTCATTACTTTCTTTAAAAGGGCTAACCCTTGGCTTAAATCAAATGTATAATATTAAACTCTTTACATGCTTCACCATAAAAAAAATTGCAGAGTACCTTAGAATTGCCTTAGTTTCAATTTTGTCTTCGCTTCTGTATTCAGAACAGTGTACTCTTTTAGTAAACATGTGTGCCACACACCTTGATATGCTTGTTCTTCTGAGAAAACAAATTGTCCCTCTTCAAAGGAGGGTGTTAAATTTGCTTAGAATAGCAGACAGTTTAAAATTGTTTAAACATATTGCGAGGAATGGACGACTGTAAAGGAGACGTTTGCATCCTGGTGGTCATTTTCTAAACTCACAACATTTAAGAATGCCACTTGCAAATCTCCTGTTTTGCTCTGATTTCAGGATGATCTTATTAATCTGTATTTTGTGAGTACTCGTCTGGAGTTTTTAATTGCTTGTGAAGTCTTTCAAAAGTTTTCTTTGCTCAAATATTTCTAACAAAATGTATGATCTCCATGGTCATCAGCAATAAGTGTGTTATTGCATCACAGTTCTAAAGTTACAGCTTTACATGTATATGTGCGATAATTTATTTTGTCTTGGGTACATAATGTGAATGTGTATAGCTTGACAGCTGTGTACATTTTGCTCTTGTGAACAGCCCATAGCTATATTTTAACTTGACTACTTATTGGGACTGTGAGAGAATGTTGCTTTATTTTCACAATACACATTTTTTTAATCTGTTTTACAATTACATAATCATGCGTTTTCTACTGGCTTACTGCACAACTAATTTTTCGGAACTGTAAAATCTTAAAATAATAACTCCTCTGAAATGTATAATACCTGCTTCACATATTTCGGTTTTATTCTCTAGTCATACAAATCAATGAAATTTGTGTTTAAGTCAGTATCCAACCTATACCTTAACACCTGCATGGCTCAATGCTCAATGCACCCAAGGTGATCATGCTTTGGCACTCACCGTGTAAGCTTTTTTTCCATGTTAATTTACTTTCTTCCTTTTGTTTCAGCGCCCACTTTTGCGCAGTTCAACCATTCAGGGTACACCAAGTCAGATGTACCATTCACCTCACTCCTTTATGGGATGGGGAGGTAATAATTGGATGGGCATGCAAGATGTCTCGCTCATGTCTGCCTTATCATCTCCTATGTATCAGCAACAGCAGCAGCAGCAGCAGCAACGCTTGCCATCAATCACTCTTACTGTAAGTGATTTGTGTTGATCAAAAACAAAACTAAGTTAAGTTTTTCTTGTCATTTATCTTAATTCTCTGCTTTGCAGGCCGAAGTTGCTGATATGAAATTATCTGAACTCTCAGTAGATGGTGTCTGTCAAATGTTTTCTAAAATTCCTGATATAAATTCATCTCAAGTGGCTAGATATACCAGTATTATCAGGGAACACAATATAAATGGAAGAGTTTTACTCCACTGTGATTTTGATGAACTCAAAAAAGTAATTCAATATTAAATGTTTTTACGTAACCACAGTACTATGTATGTAATTCAAACTCTTCAATAATATCAATATCTTTTTTTTGCAGGTGTTGAAAATGAGTTTTGGAGATTGGGAGCTTTTTAGAATGCTTGCTGTGGCTCTGAGGGAGCGTGAACTCACCACTTTCAGTCAAGTAGATGAGACTAATCCCAATAAGAATGTGCGGTTCACTGTACCTAGTATTCAGGCCACTGCCCCTCCACAGGAAAGAGAGCGAGAGAGGAGACGTAAGTAACATTCTCCACTACATTGGTGTACATTTTGTTTAGGGAGACAGTTTTGTTTAAATGTATACATGTCTTAATGGGCATTCTTTGAGCTAAGTAAGCAAATGGGTTTGTGGGGATTTTGATTTCTATAAAAGAGACTACAGATCTATAATCTGTAGTCATTTTGCTGTAATCACATGCTTTACCACTATTATAGGAAGCATGATACTAACTGAATATCTTAATTGTTCATTTTTACTTAGCTAGAGTGTGCTATCATATGATAACAAGTGATCCTCCACGTAAGATTATATCATTCATAACTCTTTCGTTAATAACAGTCCACTGCCAGTCTCAAAGGAAAACTTGTGGAGGCTTAGTTCTGTTATGAAGTGATCCATAGTTTTTGTAACCCATCTCGCTGTCATCATAGCTATGGGCTCAAATGCTTTGCAATATTAATGATGAAAATGCCTTTTAATGTATTATAAATAATAGAGAAGCTGTGTTAAATGCTTGTAGTTGTTGGTTGTGGTTGTTGGATATTTTTGTTCTGTGTTGCCGCAGCATCTGCTTCGAAGATGGCTCCTTCTGACAAGGATGGAATGGCTCTGCGCTCAAAGCCCAGTATCATGGAAAAACAAGTAAGATTATGTTGTTCTGTTTTTAAAATTCCTTGGGTATACACATTATTTTGTAGCTATACCTCACCTCTCTGGTGTGACATTTGCCTTCCTCCTCCTTTTGCTTCAAAATTTTGGACTGGATGGACAGTATCTTCCCCATTTTACCCCAGTATTTATTCCTACCCTAGAGCAATCTGCAGATTGTTATAAAGTTTGTGACACATGCTAGATACCCAATTTCCTAATTTGTGTTCTGATTTTACTTAAACGAAAATCTTCTCTGTGAAGTAAATCATTTTTGCTTTTCTTATGGCATCAATTTATGGTTGTGGAAAGCAGTATCAGGTGAGATTGCACAAGCTGCAACTCTAGGCCTCTAGGAACTCTTCACATCAGCACCTGCAACAGAAATGCAAAGTACTCACTAGCTTTCAAAGCAAGTGCATTACTGTGCCTTACATTGCATTATTATTAGCAGTTTTACACTACAAATCTATCTATATTTTATTTATATATCTGTTCTTAATCTGCATTGAATTTACTCTTGTTTGCAAATACCACTTTCTTGTTTGGAAAAAGAGCACCCATTATTTATTCCTTTGCTAAATATGATGAGCTTTTTAAACAATGCAGCTGTTTTTCCATATGCTTTAAATCCATTGGAAAGCATTTCCATACTCCTGTTCATATAGTTCATTTAGTTCAGTCATCTTTTAAAATTAACTTTGCATGTTTTACAGCCTAATAAACGTTTGTGTAATAAGATAGTCACTGTAATGTTTTCATTGTCTGACAGTCACTGTATCCATTTCCTTTCAATTCTATATAATTAATATTGAATGAGTAACTCCTCTATCCATAGAAGAGTGAACCATTAATGTCATTCACACATATTTTCAGGTGACCCTTGAAGAGCAAATGATCTGTGGTGCTCTTCAAACTCTTAATGAGGAGGCCTGTGAGGATGTCTTGGATGAATCCGTTGAAACAAAAAGAAGACTCAGTGTGGTCAGCAATGCCCCTCAGGATCCAGGTGAGTCCCAGTCGGCATACCCATCCTTCCGCGATGCTCTGCACGACTCTCACGGCAACACAAGACAAACTGCTTCCTTAGATGTGTACTTGGATCCCACTGCTTATTCAGGGTCTGATTTACTTTCATCCCATGAAGTGAGTACATCTTCATTGGAAGTAGAGTCACCTGTTGGTGATCAGTTATCACCAGATACAAAAATTTAATTGATAACTTTGTGATAGTTTGAAAGACTTTTATCATAAATACATGTAGTTTTTCTTAACATGATATTGGCTTTAAAAATTGAGAAAGCATTGTTTTTTTATCTGCTTTTGCTAATGCCATTATTGTAAAACATTCTGTGATAAAATTTGTACTAAGTAGTGTAAAAGTGGATGAAAGTTAATCTTTTCGACTGTTAGTGTTTAAGATTGGTTGCAACGAGGGTTTCAAAGAATTGGAATCCTTGGTTATGGGGATCTGCAGTTGATCTGAGAGCTGTAAGTCGTTACAGTGTATGGTGTGATGGTGTGATTTCCAAAGCGATTGGTACTTAGAATTACAAAGCATACAGGACTGCTTTGAAGAATGGTTCAATTATAATGGGTAGCAAGAATTCATACCATAACAGTTCTAACATTTTTTTAACTATTCCCTGCACATTTTCTTAGCAAGTACTGTTATAAGAAAGTTTTTATATTAAGATAATCGAAAAGGCTGGGGGAAAGAATGAATGTTGCGCAATGTATCCAGCATTGTGTATTACACTGCCTAATCCTGCTTTCAAATAAATATATTGAAATCTTTGCTAATAATCTATCTGGTAATTTTCACTTGGTATGCTGTACATATATTACTTTGCATGAGCTGTTAAAAGAAAAAAATCAATCAAATTTTCTAGCTATTCTCTTCTTCTCTATGCCTGTCTTTTACCATATTTTATACATTCTTTGTTTCTTTTTTCGTTTTCTTCTTTTCAATAGAGCTGTTGGACAGCTTATCTACATGTTGATTTGTTTATGAATTGATAGCATTGAGGAATTACATTGCTGGAAAGGCAAGGCTAGCATGCCAATATGTAGTATATTCATCGCCATATGCATATTGTATAGTGTGGCTTATACAGAAACATAATGCCACTGTGGATGAGGTGAGAAGTTGTTCCTCTATGAATCTCAATTCAAAACAAACAAAGATAATGATAGTAATTATTGTGTGATCATTAGTACTGTAGAGAATCATTGTGTGTCAAACTATCTTTTCATCTATGGTTCAAATCTGTGTTAGTAGGTGGAAAAATATTGAATACTTCCCCTAGTAGGTCTTATATGTGCTTTTAACTTCCATTCATTCATTTTAAACGGACCTGCTTTGCATTGTGTAAATATCAGTTGAATAGATAACGTTCAAGAATAACTTACCAGTGCTGCTTTCATATTTATGGCTTTTTATCAGCCTGTATTTTAGAGCTATTTTATTTTATTTTTCTGTATATGTGGACAATATTTTAGTTCTATACATTTCTTATACATTGAAGTAATCTAGACAAATCAGTGACTATTATCTGTAATTGTATTACTGTCCATTTTGCCAATGTGTTCAGAGGCAGGAAACTGTACATGTTTTCTGAGATTCATTTTTCACAATTCTTCAATAAACAATTTTAGTTTTAAAAATGAAAGACACATTTTTCCTGTGAGAAGCTTCTTGACACTGTTTGCTTCTGTTGGGGTTGCCTGCTTTCAGTTCATTGCAAAAAGGCAATGATAAATTTGTGTGGACACCATCATAGAGGGGGGAATAACTCAGACTAATGATCTCCTCAAGAAAACTCTCATATAAAGGAGTGAAAATTGCTGATAATTGATTTTTATTTTCTTGTTTGGACGGGTTCTTCAGATGCAAAACTGGGCGCGTATGTAAACACACGGAAAATTTTCTGTGAGGTTCCCTAAAGAATTTGAGACATTCTGAAAGGGTAGGTAGAACTAAACTCAAAGTGTATGAATGTCCAATTAGAGTGCACAGTACCACTGATTTTTCTAAAATTGTCAAAACATTTGTTTACCAATATTTGCTGCTTATTAATTGAATGACTTTTTACCCTTTATGAAGTGAATGACTCCATTTGAGACATGCATGTTAACCTCTTCAGGGAACAGAATGTATCTCAATGTATATCAAAAGCAAAAATGAGGTATTATACCCATTGGGGATTTTGTTAACAAATGTTATATTAAATCCATCTTGGTTTGAGTCATTATAAAATTTTCAACTGTGCTGTATCGTAGCTTATCATTTTTATTCTTCACGAGTCTTTGGTTGTAAAGACCTAGAAGATCATGATTCCTTCAAAAGGACATCCCCAGTTTTTGACAAGAAAACTCAATGCCTTGATTGTGATTACTCTAGCACCTCTTATCTGACTGGAAACCTTTCTCCTATATTTCTTATGACATTCCCTTTTGAAGTGTGTCTGGAAGCACTTTTCTATAATTTTAATAGATTTTCCAAACACTAACACTTTAAATTTGCCCCCTATGGCAATAGAGACCTTCACTTGTGTGCATGTAAATTGTGTTGTTAGCTGTTGGCTGTACATAGTTTTGGCGCATGCTGCTTTTCTGAAGCACATGGAGTAAGCCCCACTCTTCCACCTTGTAAGTATAATGAAATTTCCTTCAATAGTCTATCAGTAGTATCAGTACAGTAGTTAGTTTTACTTAGTTTTACAGTTCCTTCAATTTCCATGCTTTATTTAGCGTGGCATTGCCTCATTTCTAGCCTGCGGCCAATGCTTAAAGGGGCTTGGCTTGCAGTATCTATCTTTTTTTCAATATAAATTAATTAGCAATAGCAATCGAAAAGTAACTGAGCATGCTATTGGTATTTTAGTTTACCTATCCTCAAACTTCTACTTCTCCTTGCTTTGTTGCTGCAGCAGCTTGCGTTTTATGCAAATTCTATTTGTACTCGCTTTTGTTTTTGTATGTAATTTTTAAAATTTCGTCCGCATTTGGATAAGACTGTACATACTGTTTGTCTGTCAATATTGAATATTTATGATCTTCGAAATCTCATGTGGTAGAAGATATGTATTAACATATGAACTGACTTCATAAATTTCTTGCGTTCCGCTAGATAACCACATGTTGAATTTATTGATTTCAAAAAATATCACTCTTTATCTTTTTTGTATGTGTGTCTTTGTTCTCTTCTCTAATCATTTTTTCATATTTTTGTACAGATTTTGGTTTTGGCCACCGTGTCAGGAGTGTGAGTCAATGCAGTAGCCTTATGGATCGTGAAGAGACTGATGTTGTAATGCTGCAGTCGTCACCCTTACATCCATTCCATTGGCAAGCAATTGCACTTGGGTCCAGTCATGAAGCAAACTTAGACAGTTTAAGTATAACGAGCTTTTGTGAAGCCCCTAATCCAACATTGAGGAAGAACTCCTCAGCTGCTGATTTGATCAATAAGCCTTCTCCCATTCAACCTGCAGTCATTAATAACCACACTGGCTTAATAAACCAGAGGACTGGTTCACAGGGCTCCTTAGTATTAAGGGCATCAAATTCGAATTCGCCTCTGCTTACATCTCAAAGAAGACCCTCATCACTGATAGTAGATGAGCACCTGAACCCTCCATCAGCGGCTCCACCACTTGCTACTGTGAGATCGCTCTCTGCAGATGAGCGAATAGAAAGGCGACCATCAATTGGTAGAAACAACGTCAATATGGCACGAAGATCTCGAAAGAAAAGTCGAGAAGAAATGCTAGCACGATCAGTGTCTCCCTCTTCAAGCTTAGAAAAATTAAACAGGCTCAAAGAAAAGATCTTACGCTCTGTTCCTAGAGCTGGACAAGATGTGGTACTTTCAATAGATTCCAAACGAGATCTTGACAGTGATGATGAAAATACTCCCCTTGTTTCGGAACTTAATTCGCCTGTCAGAAGCCATTCAGGGAAAAATGATTTTGCTAATGGAGCGTTTGGTGATACTGGAAGTGCATCAGGTAGCAGTGAGGTTTCCCCAAGCACTCCTATGTCCCCCATAATTGTATTAGGTATGGCTGGAGAAGGTGTAAGGAGTAAATCAGGATCTGCTATGTCTCTCACTCAAGTTTTAGATACCCATGGAAGTGTCACCATTGGAGAAAATAAAGCATGGAGTGGATATGCCGGGGGAGACTCTTTCAATGATATTGGTCGGAGCTCACATCGTTCATCTCCAAATCATTTAGGCAGGCAAGACGCTCTTGATAACGTTGATAATTTTAAATCAGACGAAGTTGCTCTGGACAGCAATAAGGGAGATGGCGATTGGAAAAACCCAGAGACTTCTGTGTAAAACAGAGAAAGAGGAAATAATTTTTAAGTGCTATGCACTCATGAATGAAGTAGCACAAATAGAGGAATATGGTCCTTTATGGTGTGATCAGGACAATATGAGTGGGACCACTCAATATTTCCTTTCTAGCACCACTATATTTTTCAGGAAATTTGTTAAAACTGGATGTGACATTTGTTTCTCTTTCACAGCTGACTTTTGTGTTATGTAGTTTCATTGGATTCATTTTAGCTTAAGAGAAGACATATTTTATAATTGCTTACAATTTAAGTTGGCTTTTTAACTTAGTTCCTAATCAAGGTAGTGCCTCAATTCTACTTCTCTTATCGGTTATGATTTATGGCTGTGAATGAAGTGAGTAGAAGTGGCTGTAAAATTAGATTCAAGTACCTTACTAGAGTCATTCCTAAATATACAAAATACATTTTATTTTTTAAGGTAATAAGTCTGCTTTCTGTTTCACCAAATTGTAATCAGGCATACCTGCATAGTTTCTAAGGCTTCCGAGTCACAATGGTAACAGTTTCTGCCATGCTTTTGCAATAGCAACTCATGTTCCTTATGGAGCACACAAGTTTCTGTAAAGGCTTTCATTATTAGCCTGGCTCATTGTTGTGTTGACTTATTTTTGAAAAGGATGTGAAAGGAACACTAGTTACTTGTGATTTTCTAATATCAAGAAAATAGGTAGTTTTTGAAAATTCTATTACTTTTTAGCTATTTACCTGACTCTGTGAAATTATTCATACGCATCTGATTAAAACCAAGCTGTATTTTGGCTTCTGTACTTTTTACTTAAGTGTTTATTTGTGGTAGTCTCCAGACCTCTCTTTAATTTCAAGCTTTCTCTTGTTTTTAATTTGAATTACTCTTTATGAACCTTGGTTATCAATGCTCAAAATGTGTTGTTGTTTGATTTTTTAATACATTCATTGGGAATATTTCGGTATCTAATGGACATTCAATAAGTATGGTAACTGTTATTTAGTACATTAATGTAGGTACTTAAACTATGAATCATTGTCTTTCTAAACATGATCTGATTTGTAGTCAGTGTTGTGAATCTTTTTAAGTGTGAATTTCTGTGTAATTTTATAACTTGACATTACATGTTGCTATTGTTGAATTATGTTGGATTGATGTGATACTGGATGTGTACTTTAAAGGAGGGAGGGAGTGAACCTTTTGGAGTGAATGTTCTAGTTCATTGCAGTTGAATACTTATGTGATTTGATTGTGATCTAGGTTTTGTAGCTGAGGCATTTCTCAGGCTTCTTCTTAAATATTTGGAAGCTAAGACTGTTGAAATATGGTCCTTTTAATGTGTGCACTTGTATACTTTTAGTATGCTTTGATTCAATGTTGAAATTGTAATAATTATTGGTTGTGTATTGTTAAATTCTATCTATGTAAATCAAACCAATAGTGACAGTCTTTCGGTCAATTGGTCTTGCGGGTTATTGCAAGCTAGGCATCAAATCTGGTATTTTATATTTTACATCCTTCTCTATTATAACACTTCTTGCTAGCACAATTTTTTTCTAAATTGAGAAATTACTTTTCTTTCTTTGCACCATCTGCTATTCTACTTGAAATTAAGGTGTATGGTCTGCACCTACTAATGATCTTCAGATACATTTTTTTCTACTTCTGTATTTTACTGCTTTGTAAACCAAAGTATGCATACTGATACAGAAACATTTTACGCACCTGTCTTCTGTTTGTTCCCAAAATGCATCCGGTACAGCAATACCAAGAAATATGCATCCTTTGATTTTCTCACTAACTAATAACTAAACGTCAATTGTAGAGTAGTTTCAATCATTTAATAGTATTGTAAACAACAACCTCAACATCTACTGCTCTCTCAAAGTTTAACTCAGCCCTAAATTTATATGTGGCTCTGTTTTTTTGATATTTTAAACAAAGTAGAATGCTCCTCCACCAGTAATCAGTGACAATAAGGTCGTATTGTATGCTTGTTAAAAACTTTTTCCCTGTAAAATGCTCATTTTTTTCTGAACTGCTACTGTTTGAGGATTACATAAATGGAATAGTCGAATCAAACTGTTTCAAGACTTGTTAGTACAGATATTATGTATTGTTTCCTAAACCTTGACCCAAAATGAGTGTATATATGTGTACTGTATTTCTAGTTTACGTAGTAGTACAATGTTATGTTTTTAGCTAGAAAGACAAAATCATGTTCCTTTGCATTGTTACACACCTAAACCAATTTGCAGGAGCTGTTTGCTGAGAAAAATGCTCAACATAAACTATTAAGAGTTTTATACATTAAACCTTTTAATTTTGATTTGTAGAACAATTTTCAATATTTTTTTAAGTAATACACAAACCAAAGTTATTGTGTGATTACTCGGTTGATACTTATCTTATCAATTAAATGATTGTTACCTTGTGGAATCCATATATAGTTATATAAATTTGTGATCCAGTTAGTGCTAGGTGGAACTTGTGTGCATTTTCAGGCTTCCTCTTATGTTTGTTGTGTTTCAATTTAGTTTGGTTCGTCTTTCTTTATTATTATATTTTATGACCAGTAAAATGTAATTGTCAGCTCTATGCTCAAAGTCTTTCACTGCATGTGAGGCTCTGATAAGCCAAGACATAGGTGATGTCCCACTCTTACACAAATGCTTTCTATTCGTTTTTAATCAGTATTACTCATTAATATCCTTATTAAAATATCCATCTATTATTGTGTAAGCCTGAGTGCTCTCTGTAGCTTTAATTTTTCAGTATCGCACAAAATCTGTTTGACTTTGGTTGAAGTCAGCTCTATTCCAGATGTAGATGTTTAATATTATCCTTAGAGGAGCAGTATTTTGCGTGAATGTTTGCTTCCCCCCCCAAGGTAGAGCCTCACGGCCCGCGGTCCGCGCGGTTATGATTTATGGCTGTGAATGAAGTGAGTAGAAGTGGCTGTAAAATTAGATTCAAGTACCTTACTAGAGTCATTCCTAAATATACAAAATA